ACTAGAAATGTTAAAGAAAATATACTAAAAAATGACGTTTCGGTGGCCTTACAAGCAACCAAGCAAGAATATCGAGCACTGAAACAAGAATATCGAGCGCTAAAGCAAAAATAATGAATAGTTGATTCAACGCGGCAACGCCTGCTTTATAGAAGACAAATAGAAGTAGAGATTAGAGAAAGAACACAAACATACAACCCTAAGCCTTCGTTGACGATTTTTTTGCGATTTTGAGGCAAGGAATGAGGAAAGAGCTGGACGAAGGGAGCACCGAAAGCTTTTCGAGACGGGAGCGCCGAAAGGATGAATCGCGACCAGTAGGGTTAGGGTTGTTGAATGCTGCCTGTGTTTTTATATTTTAAGTTATGTACTTATATTAATATATATATATATAATACTTTATATTAATTATAAACTTATATTATTTAACTATATAATATTTATAATACTATTTACTAAATTATATATTATAATTTATAGGATTTAATATTTTAAAATTTGATAAATTTTTAATATATATAATATAACTATTTTTAAATTTCATAATATTATTTAAATTATTTATATTTCGAACAAAAACGAATCGAACACGAACGAACGGGTCATTGTTCGTGTTTGGTTCGTTTAGCAATCCGAACAAAAAAATTTGTTCGTGTTCGTCTCGTTTGCTTATCGAACGAACCGAACACGATCTGCTTCACGAATCGAACACGAACTGCTCGCGAACAACGAGCCTTTTTGACAGCCCTAGATTCAGGGAAGAAAATCCTCGAACCTTTGACTTTGTATGATTATCTTTTTATCCCTCTAGGAATATATTGATTATGATTTCGGCTATGTTTTAACTGTTTCTAGTGATAATGTAACTGATTATGCCCAATCTAGTTTCGATCTCAATGAAATAGATCATAACTGTTTCTAGTGATAATCGTACCCAAGTATGATGAACTCATTGTCAAGTCAAAAGAAGACATCAATGATACCGCTTACGATAGCACTGATAACCTGATAACGAGGAGCCAATCCTCTAGCATCACGGTACACCGCTTACCATCAACTTGGATCTTTTCGATGAAGAGGAAGAGACACCAGAAGATTCACCAATTATATCTCAAGAAGAAGAAATCACAGAAGTTAACTTGAGGATCGGAAAGGTGTTACCACCAAAGACAGCTCCAACAGATAGAGGACAGCAAATAATGACCCGAGAAGAGATACCTCCACCTTCAATAGTGGAAGAACCACATAATCAAGATAAAATCAAAGGATCATACAAAGTAAACTACAATGTGCTAGCTCATCTTAGGAAGTTGCCGGCCCGACTAAGCATCTACGACGCTCCGATCCTGTCAAAGGAGATGAGGGAAGCTCTGGTTACGACTGTTAACCCAGAGATTTGCTTAGCTCAGTTGGCCAGCACATCCTCAGATAAAGTTTGTTCGTTGAAAGAACTGCCTGGGGTAAACTTCACAGATGAAGACTTACTGCTCGGTACCGCTGACCACAATCGTCGGCTCGACATCTTCGTCACCCTCGACAGATTTGTGTTGTCCAGAGTTTTAGAAGATCTTGGAGCATCTCTTAACTTGATGAGCCTACAAACATTGACCTATTTGGATATTGAAGATCAAGAGCTTATAACGGATAAGATGATGTTAAGAGGATTCAACCAAAAGGGAGAAAGAGCCATCGAATCAATTACATTACTTATGATGGTTGGAGAACTCGTGACAACCTCTAAATTTCATATCATCTATGCAGAGACCTCTTTTAATGCTCTGCTGGGTCGACCATGCTAGTCTGTCATAAATGTTGTTCAAAAATATAATTCCATCGTCTCTACACCAGTGCATCAAATACTGTAAAGTTGGTCAAGAAAATTGCATCAAAGGAGACCTACAACCATTTTCAGTGCATGAAGTTAGATGCTGCTTACTGTGTGCCTCCAAAGAAGATTGTCCTCTCTCATAAAGTTATCACAAACAAAGAAGAAGATTCAGAAGAATTACAAAAAGAGGCCATTCAACTTTGCTTCAACGATCTTCCACCACTTCCTTACAACGAGTTGGTGAAACTTCTTTTAGTTCGCACACCCGAGGTCGAGGCCGGGGACTTGGACGAGGAAGGATCAATTTAATTGTTGAACGGACTAGGCCCTAACCATCAATGTTAGTAAGGAAGACAGTTCTGAAGATGAGATAATGATGAAAAGACGGAAGAAACCTCGGTACGAGATATGCTTAGAAGATGCAGAAAAGAATGAATATGAAAAAATATATGATCGGATAAACTACTATGTGAATGCTATGACCCTCACTCCGATTCTCCCTCATAAGGTCGATAGTTTAGAGGTCAAGGAAGTCTGTAGTATTGGTTGAAAGATGATCAAATTTTACCGTTCTTCTACCTCTACTGAGCTTGAAAAACATTTAAATTTGGATG